TTCGAATCCCAGGTCGGGCCAACATCAGTTATTGGGTTTTTCTGACAAGAAAGTCTCAATAGCAGCCCGAAGTCAGGAAGTTGGCGGTGTTTCAAAGCGTGCCTCGGAAATCACGTAAAGCCGTTGCTCTTGTGCCTGATCTCTCCCCGGTCGTGTCGAATTAACGTCCCATCTGACTATGAGAGTGAGGGAACAGAGAGTGCACCTGTGCTTGCGCATATACTCGGGCACTATAATTCTGTCCTCAGTAGATGGCTAGTCTCTGTTCAGAGTGGCCGCCGTGACCAAAATTATTTCTGCACTATTATAATTAACAATTTCATTGGTGCCGGCGAGAATCAAACTTTGGTTGCCAGCAGCACAGCTTCAAGAAACCGTGAAATTTAGTTCTCTTTCCTTATGACCTCCATTGAAAAAAATATTAGCAAGGTAAACACAGATGCAGACGGGAACACATTTACACTTATTTCATTTTTTAATTACACGAGTTAGAGACATGCTGAAGCTACGTTATAGTTGTAGCACGAATGGATCTGTTCGACCGGGGAAGATCAAGAAAAATACCAGCATGAAATAGCAGCTTATTGCTGCTGTGTTTCGTATCGTGAGTTTAGAGAACAGGAGACCCCTTTTACTGAAACCGAGACACTCTATCTTAGTTCCCAGGGGTGATAACGCATCTGCATTTTGATTCTTAATTGAGAAAAGATGTAGATGTCTATAGGCCACAGCATCCAACTTACCTTCAGGTGGACTATGTGCTCGTTTATCACCCGTATTCTTTAAAAAATAGAAGAGAAACAAATATTGCGATCATATATTAAACTCCTATGAGAAATGCTCACAAATCTAGCGCAGTAAAACATCTTTATTCAGATAGTTTTCGCGAGATGTGAGCAGTATAAGCGAACTCAACCACAGAAATAATATTTTATTAGCTCCAATGGTACACTTAAGAAAATTGACTTTGGAAATATAATATAAAGATAGGGGTTAGCAATTTGCTCTGATGTTTTTCCATATCAGCTTCTTTAATTTTCTATGAATGGAATAATTATGTTAGAAATGGGATAACTATGTTAGCAAATATTGTTACATTTTAGAATTACTTCCATTGATTTTATATGGGATTGATACATGTACTTTCCCCAACGGTTTCCACCTTACTAAAATACTTTAATCACTCACATACACTGATAATACTGGAAGGCAAAACTGGTCGGTGTATATGATAAAAAAATAAATATAATATAAAATAAGTACATTTATTTATCTCAATCATCAAGTAATAACAATCAAATATATAAATTATATTTTATTTTATTATAAATTTTGGCTAGTAGCTTAGTAGCGTATTGGATAAAACTTTGAATAAGGCGCTCTAGTACCGCAGGTTCAAATCAAACATTTGGCTCACAATCAATCGTTTCGTATCTAGATCTTTGTCCATGTGCAAATTATGTATGTAAAACTCCTCCGTGTTTTAATAGAAAATCGTTATGCCCCTACATTACGATTCACGTTGTTGTAATGAATATGTTGTTTGTAATTTAAAGGAAATATTAAATTTATAATATTTTTGTGTGGCGATAAACGTGGATGTGATGTGACCATCGGACAACCAGACGGTCGGTATGCTTTCAGCCTTTTGATAACGTTAATCCACGCATTTCAATTAAATGGTTTGATTCGTGCTTTAGGAGTAGCATCATTTGCCGGCGTCTATCTTTCCGTACGATTACAATCCGGCAGTCTTCAAGGTAAGATAAATAGGCTTTTGTCACGCTCATTTAGTGCGATTTATCGTCTAAGGTTTCATCACGCCACTTACCAACAGGTGTAGCACTGTGTTGAAGCGCTTGTCAAATTATATTAGCAGTTCTCATGCCAATATTAGTCCGTAAGCTGTGTGGGTATGTTTAAAAAATGTTGTACCTGTCGTCGTTGTAAAATTTAGAGATCAAGTAAAGGTCGATTGAGCAAATTACTGCATTTTACTATTAAAAAGAGATCAAATTCCTATTCATGGTCCTAAATCGAAGCCGGATTTTAAAAAACGTAATTGGACAAGATATTATTTAGTGGAATACGCTTGGGAAGTCTTAAATATTCGTTGTGGAAATACCACCGAGGGAGTGAAGATATTTAACCAAGAAATCTGGAGTCTTAGCCCCTTAGATATTGGACTATTATTTAACCCAGCACTCATTATCAGGTAGTATTTTGTGTAAATCGACTGCTAATTTATCAGGTTAGTACCAAATTACCTATAAAATAATTACGTATAACTTAAAGTTAAAAATATTGTTTTATATAGTTTCTAATAACCGTCAAATCATGATTAAATCAAATTATAAAGCTTAGTTAAATTATATTGACGATATTATAAATTTTTTTTTCTCTTTATTGGTTTAAACTGTTTTTTAAAAAATAAGTCAAGAGAGTGTATAATTGAAAAAATTGCATAATATTATTTATTACATACTAAGGCATACCTGTGAAGCTGTTTGATGGTCTGAATTGTATTTGTTACCCTTAATTGTTGTTAATTATAAAGTTAAATATCAAGGTAGTACATGTACCATTTTGTTTAATTATTTAAGAGTTTGAAAAATAAGTAAGGGAATTAGTTTTCATTTCTTTACAACTGTAAGCAAAATTGTATAAAACTACTTATGAATTATATTTTATAAAATATAAACTTCTTGTTTGTATAAATTTCAGGCATTTGCACTAGTCTCCCAATACCAGCCAGCATGCCAGAAGATAAGGAGCAAATTAGGAAACGAGCTAGTTACAAGGGACAAATAACAGCTTTTTCAAATTATTTAAATTCACTGAAGGTATCTTCATTGGCTGCTACTGAGGTAAATGAGTTGCAATTACGTATTAGTAGGATTGAGTCAATGTATGAACGATATGATGAGGTACAATTATCCATCGAGTGTAATACTGATAATATAGACGCCCAGATATCAGAACGAACTGATTTTGAATCCCTGTATTTTAAATCGCTTTCTCTTGCAAAAAGGATCTTAGCAGATTGCATTAAGTCAGATGACGTAAGCAGTGACGGTGGCTCTCATTCCGGCAATCATAAATTTGTTAAACTGCCCACTATTCAACTACCTAAATTTAATGGTTCTTATGATAATTGGTTAGAGTTTCATGACACGTTCATGAGCCTCATACATTCAAATGACGAGATAGATGACATAAATAAGTTTCACTATCTGAGAGCGTCGTTGGAAGGGCCCGCTGCTGTGGTAATACAGTCAATCGAATTCTCGGCAGCTAATTACACCGTCGCATGGACTATATTATGTGATAGATATGATAATAAAAGACTACTAATTCAAAATCACGTGACAGCCTTATTTAATATAGCACCAATTAATAAAGAATTGTCTGTCAACTTAAAACGTCTTATTGACCAAATAAATAAAAATTTACGTGCACTAGAATCTCTCGGTGAGCCAACTAAACAATGGGACACACTTCTCATTCATATTATTACTCAAAAATTAGATGCTAAGACATATCGTGAATGGGAAGAGTCTAAAGGTCGTTTGGAGAAAGATACACCTATTACGTTCGATATATTTTTGATGTTTTTAAAAAATCGAGCCGATTTAATCGAAACACTAGAAATGTCTAATTCTGGTGCTACTAACCGTTTAAATTCTTCCATAAAATATGCTCCAAAAGTTAAGGCAATGGTTTCAGTGCGGGATACCGGTAATAAAAACGGTTCGGCCTTTTCCGCCAAACTGTGCCCTAAATGTAAGGGTGACCATAAGTTAAGCAGTTGTCCTCAGTTTCTTGGATTAAGTAACGATGTGCGTCTACAGTTACTGCCAGAGTATAAAGTATGTTTCAATTGTCTTAATTCAGGACATTATGCAAATCACTGCAAAAAGCCAGGATGCAAAATATGCCACCGAAAGCATAACACTCTCGTGCACGTCGCAGATTACCAGTCAAAACCAATTACAGATATTAATACATCTAACACGAGTAGTGGTAATAATAAGCCCGTTATGCAAGGTCATTTCGAACAAACAAACAGTTCGACAGGCTCACAGTTGTCATCCAATTCTAACGCACATCTGTCATTATCCGCAAAGGTAGGCACTACATCGTGTAGTGAACAAGGCGACGTATTGTTATCGACGGCATTAATTAAAGTTATAGGTAAGAATGGTTGTCCATATATTGCTCGTGCTATTCTTGATAGTGGCAGTAACGCTTGTTTAATAACTGAAGAGTTATATCAAAGGCTAGGTTTGCCCGCTCAAAATGTAAATCAGTCGGTAGTCGGTATTAATAATGCTTCGGCACACATCAAGAAGATTTGTAAGGTATCGATAAAATCATTGAATGATAACTTCTCTAGTAATCTTCATTGTTTTGTCCTACCATCAATAACCCAAAATGTACCTACTAGATATGTTAATTTGTCAAACTTAAAAATTCCATCTAATATTTCTCTGGCAGATCCTAATTTTCACTCACCTGCTCCCGTTGACATGCTTATAGGTGCTGATGTCTTTTGGGACTTAATAGGAACGCAGAGATTAAAATTAGGGGACGGTCAGCCGATTCTTTGTGAAACTAGCTTAGGATGGTTAGTATCAGGTCCGATAGATTATAGATATGTAAAGAAAGGGGTTAACTTTATTAAATGTAATTTTACAAGAATATTTCAAGATGAGGCTAGTAAAGATTTAGATGAAGATATACAAAAACAATTAGTACGCTTCTGGCACCTCGAAGAGGTAAGCCCTGCGTCTCTTTATTCAAACGAAGAAAAATTATGCGAAGAACACTTTTTAAAAAACACCACGCGACTGGCAAATGGTCGATTTTGCGTGAGGATACCCTTAAAACATAATCCTGACGTATAAGGTGATTCTTGGCCACGAGCTAAAAAGTGTTTACTATCGCTAGAGCGCAGGTTAGCAGGTCAATCTCAGGTCTATGAAATGTATAAAGAATTTATGTCAGAGTATGAAAGTCTGGGTCATATGGAGAAATGTGAGAATGATAATTTACCACGTAAGATGCATTTTATACCACATCACGGTGTGCTTCGGGAAAGTAGTACTACTACTAAATTAAGAGTCGTTTTCAATGCTAGCAGTCCGACTTCTTCGGGTGTTTCCTTGAATAATATACAGATGGTAGGTCCCGTGGTACAGGACGACCTTTTGTCCATTCTTTTACGCTTTCGGCTACACAAATACGTTCTCACAGCTGATGTTGAGAAAATGTACCGGCAAATAGTCATTCATCCCGATGACCGCTATTTGCAACAAATGTCTGGCGTGATAACCCTTCAGAACAGCTTCAAGCTTATCAACTTAACACCGTGACTTACGGCACCTCTAGTGCTCCCTTTTTGGCAACTAGGTGCCTCCAACAATTAGGCTTAGAGTGTACCGATGACAAGGTTGCTCAAGTGATCATTCACGATTTTTACGTTGATGACTTGCTAACGGGAGGGGATGATATTAACGAGGTTACAGATTTGCGACGTAAAGTGACTTCCACACTTGCATCAGCTCATATGGTTTTGCGAAAGTGGAAGTCGAATGAATCTCAACTGGTTAGTGAAAATGATATTTCTCCGCTTGATTTGAATATTGGTGGCTTTGAACCGACTAAAACTTTAGGCCTTGGTTGGCAATCACATACTGACCAACTTTGTTTCCCTATAGGAGGGCTATTCTCAGGTAGAACAAAGCGTGATATGTTATCTGTGATTTCTCAGATTTTTGATCCACTAGGACTTCTATCTCCCTGTGTAATTAAGATGAAAATGCTTCTTCAACAGTTGTGGCTGCTCAAGCTGTCATGGGATGAGCAGTTGACGCCAGAAATCAGCAAGATGTGGGCTGAGATAATAGTCGATTTACCTAAATTAAATACTCTACGTATTCCACGTCGTGTTATTTGTGACTCGCCTAGTTTGTTTGAATTTCATATTTTCTCGGACGCTTCTGAGCGAGCATATGGCGCCTGTTTATATGTGCGTAGTGTTAATGATCAGGGTGAGGTTTTAATTCAATTATTGATGGCGAAAAGTCGTGTCGCGCCGCTTAAACCTATAACAATCCCAAGACTGGAACTTTGTGGTGCACTTGTTGGAGCTCGCCTTTACCAAAAGGTTGTAGCATCGCTGAGACAACAGGCTAAGCGCACTTTCTTTTGGACAGATTCGTCCATCGTGTTAGGATGGTTAAAGGTGTTACCTAGCAAGCTACAACCCTTTGTCAGAAATAGAGTTGCTGAAATATTAGAGAAGACTGGAAATTGCGAGTGGAGGCATATCCCAACAGAGTGTAATCCGGCCGATCATATTTCTCGCGGTGTGAGTTGTAAGGATATTTCATCCATGAGTAAGTGGTGGTCAGGACCTGAATTTTTAAAGAAAGAGGTCTCTCACTGGCCTGCAAATTTCTTAAGTATTAATCACGAGTTGCCTGAGATTAAATCGTCAAATGTTATCCTCCACGGAATACTTCATTCTAGCAACAATGAAGATTTAGGTGGGAATAAATTAATTGAATTTAAACGCTTTTCTAAATATACTAGATTAAATCGGACCGTTGCTTATGTGCTGCGTTTTATTAATAATTGTAGAAAGCAATCCGTTCACGGTCCTCTAAGCAATCAAGAGTTGCAAACCGCACTCAATGTTATTATAAGAATATCTCAGAGTGAATCATTTGAGGAATACACCATGTTAATTAAAAATAAAAGTTTACCCACTAAAAGTCCGTTGCATAAATTTAATGTATTTCTCGATGATAATAAAATAATGCGGGTTGGAGGGCGTCTTGAAAATTCCGATTACTGTTATGAGAAAAAACATCCCATACTTATACAGTCCACTCATTATTTTACCAAATTGCTCTTCAATTAGGAGCACATAAGGTTAATGCACGCGGGACCACAGCTAATGTTGGCCACTATAAGAGAGATGTACTGGCCGATTAGAGGTCGTAATTTGGCCAGATCTTGTTATCGACAATGTGTAAGATGTAATAGAATGAAAGGAAAAACCATCTCTCCAATAATGGGCAACCTACCACACCAACGCATCCTTTCTGGTTTTCCATTTCAAAATATTGGACTAGACTATGCGGGACCAATTCAATCTGTTTCTCGCCATGGCCGTGGTTGTAAAATTGTAAAGGTGTATATAGCTATTTTTATTTGCTTCGCGACTAAGTCAATTCATCTTGAATTAGTGGGTGATTTAACTAGCAATACCTTCATATTAGCTTTGCGCAGATTTATGTCTAGAAGAGGGAAACCTCTTAATATTTATTCGGATAATGGTACCTCCTTTGTAGGCGCATACAATGACATTTCAAAATTTATTAGGACGTATTGTAATTCTTTATCTGAGGTAATGGCAAATGAAGGAATTAATTTCCATTTCATACCGCCTTATTCTCCCCATTTTGCTGGGCTTGCGGAGGCTGGTGTCAAATGCATTAAATATCATTTAGTTAGAGTGCTGGGCAATTGTAATGTGACTTACGAGGAACTAAATACCACATTAATACAAATTGAGGCTATACTTAACTCCAGACCACTCACACCTTTGTCAACGAATCCTGAAGACTTGCTACCACTAACGCCCGGTCATTTTTTGATTGGACGCCCCTTGACTTCCTTGCCGACACCAGACTATAAAGATCATTCCGTAAGCTCTTTAACCCGATTTCAACGAATAGAACAATTACGTCAACATTTTTGGGCTAGATGGAGCAAGGAATATATATCAGAGCTTCAACTGCGGATGAAATGGCGTTCCTGTAAAGGCTCTTTGAAGTTAAATTCACTGGTACTCCTAAAAGAGGAGAATTCACCGCCATTAAAGTGGAAGATGGGTCGCATCGTCGCAGTCCATCCAGGCTCGGACGGCGTATCAAGGGTGGCGGATATCAAAACATCGACTGGTATAGTTCGCCGATCATTTAGCAAAATTTGTCCGCTTCCTGAACCTGAAGAATCTGGTTGAAAGGTAGACTTTCAACGCCGGGGGGCATGTTGAAGCGCTTGTCAAATTATATTAGCAGTTCTCATGCCAATATTAGTCCGTAAGCTGTGTGGGTATGTTTAAAAAATGTTGTACCTGTCGTCGTTGTAAAATTTAGAGATCAAGTAAAGGTCGATTGAGCAAATTACTGAATTTTACTATTAAAAAGAGATCAAATTCCTATTCACACTGGCATATATTTATATTTATGTTTATGATTCTTCCGTACGTGTGTTTGTCACTGAACTCCTTGTAAACGGCAGGACCGATTTTGACAATATTTTTTGTGTGTTTGAGTAGAGTAGGTCGCGCTGTTGTCCAAATACACAAATCAACCATGAGGATCCTGGGCGTACAACTAGTAAGAATTAAAAAAGGTAGATATAATGCCATTACCACTTACACCCAGTTAATAAACAAATGACACTTTGTATACCTAAAAACGGTGATATGTTAACTTCAAAATACCTAATGTGGCTCAATTGTATAAGAACCCCGCTTGCACAAACAACCAGAGTGAAATACTTTTTTTCAATGGCTATTAATTCTTAATTCAGAATTATGTTAAAACTCTCAACTAAAAGTATACCATGTCACGCAGGTCTAGTTTTAAAGTAGGAATTAGTCGCAATGTCAATTCACTTAAATAACCACTAAAAACTTTAAAATACACGTGAGAAGTTTTATTTAAAAGGGATTATGCGGCAGTTTCAAAAGATTCTAGTTTTATGTAAACGATTTCAGAGCTTATTTCAAAACTTCTGGTCAGATTTAAAGAGACTCAAAGGTCAGTGAAACTATGTAAGTCAGCAGGATCGAAACATAAAAACTAGTCTTTCTTTCTTAAGAATAAAGGTGACAAAGATGAAAAGAGAGGTGAGTAAGTAACATTTGTCCAGTTTCCAACAGATGAGTTGTCACTTTTACATAAAGGCCTAAAGTATAATTTAACACCTTCGGTCTCCCAAAAATCTTTAGAGACTATGGCTGTTGACGCGGAGATGGCTGTTGTGATCGGGAAGAAAGATAACATCGTTAAAAGTTTGGTAGCTAATGAAATTCGGGCTGTGCCCGCGTCTTCCCATTTCAATCCTGAGTTCCCTGTTTTTAAGTCCCTAAAGCAGAGAATAAGGGAAAACGACCTTATTGTTAATAAAGCCGATGAAGGCAATACTGTTGTTATTATGGAGAGTAGTGGGTATAGCCAGAAAGTTAACGGTGTTATCCAAGGCGATGACTTTGAGCTATTGGAGTCTGACCTAACCAAAAAGTTTACTTCGGATATTAAGTTATGTATACAACAGTCATCATATGTCTTTCCCGATCACAACATGTTTAGGAGCAATCTTGTTCCAATGAATCCTCAAGCACTCATTTTATATGGGTTACCAAAACTACATAAAGAACATTTTCCTATTCGTCCAGTTGTCTCATATATTGGTGTACCAGCTTATTTTCTTGCTAATAAATTAAACTTCCTCCTGCGAGAGAAATGTGGATTCCAACCCACTTACAGCCTAAAAAATGGCTTAGATCTCATTTCCAAAATTAAAGATATTCGTATTCCTCCTAAATCCATATTGTTATCTTTAGACGTTGACAGTCTTTTCACAAATGTCCCATCCCCTGACTGTTTGCGTATACTCGCAGATCTCTTTGAAAAACGTCGTCTACATCCCGGGGAAACAAATGATCTTCTTAATTTAACCTCTCTCTGTATGAAACAAAACTATTTCCGGTTTAATAACCGTTTCTGTCTACAAAAAGAAGAGTTAGCTATGGGGTCCCCTCTAAGTCTCCTTATGGCGGATATTTTCATGGATAATTTCGAAAAACAACATATAGTTGTCAATCAAAATATCTTATATTACTATAGATATGTAGACGATATAATCATTTGCTGAACTGGCACAAGGAGACAACTGGTTGTTTTCCTCAATAAAATAAATAGAGTCCATGACAAAATTAAATTTAAACTTGAATTGGAACAAGATTGTTCCCTTAATTTTCTCGATTTAACAATAACAAGAAAAGAATCATCACATGTTTTCCAAATATATCGAAAGCCAACTCACACCGACACGGTCATCCCCGCGTCATCGTGTCATCCGTGGCAACATAACGTAGCCGCTTTTTATTGTTACATTAACCGTTTGTTCACTGTTCCGTTAAGTAAAGGAAATTATTTAAAAGAACTTAATATAATTTATCAAATAGCGGTCTCTAACGGGTTTTCAAAAAATCTCATTAACAATTTAATTAAAAAGAAACAAAATCATGTTCTTCGCAACTCTCTGTACGCGGTTCAACCTCAAAGTGTTC